ACGCAACGTTTGGCTCAAGTCAATGCCCATAGCTAAGTGCTATATGTGTCTTCTATCCTGAGCAATCAGAGCTATCCCGTTGCACAGACGAACCGCCGCCGGCAGTGAGTGCAAAAGGAACGGCCGCCGGTTCTGCCTGCATAGGATCGCACGTGTGGGAGTACGAGAGAGAGACAGGGTCCAGTCTGTGGAGAGTGCTAGCCAGCCACACCTATATTCATTACAGCTCTGGTGGGGAGAGCAGCAACCAAGTCGAGATCAATCCCCCACGCATAAACAAAGTTACAATTATTTTGGCCCAAAGTTACAACTAGTTCGTTGCAGTTTCCGGGTTAGCTGGTCCAACACGAACCTGAGGTTGGGGTTGGGGTTAACCCCAACCCTAACCTAAGGTTAGGGTTGGGGTTAACTTGAACCCCGAACCTAGGGTTAGGGTTCGGGTTAACCCCAACCTGAGCTCTGGCGTCGAGGTCACTGTTCGGGTTAACCCAACCCCAACTCGGCCAGCGTTAGGGTTGGGGTTAACCCCAACCTTAACCGGGCATTAGGGTTGGGGTTACCTAGGTGTTTCAAGCCTTGTTGTTTGTTGGAGAAGATGTTCATTCTTGGTTCTGAATTTTGATTCGCTTTTAACCCTGGTTTGTCCTTTCGGCTTCAAAGAGCGGGCGAGAGGGGTTGGGGAGCGCTAGGAGGGGCCTACGTAAAGCCTTCTTGTTCGCTGGAGAAGAATTTTCATCTCGATTATTCATATTTCTTAGCCTTTAACCCCCCTGGAGCGTTTGCGTGTGGCTCTCTCCTTCATCTTGCGTGGAACAGACGTTAGGGTTGGGGTTAACCAGGTGTTTCAAGCCTTGTTGTTCATTCCTGATTCTGAATGTTGATTCGCTTTTAACCCCTCCGGGAGCGTTTTCGTGTGGCTTGCTCCTGTTGATGTGTGGTCTTCGAACCTGAAGAGAGCGGGGGAGGAGGGTTGGGGGGCGCCAGGAGGGGCCTACTTAAAGCCTTCTTGTTCGCTGGAGAAGACGTTTCGTTTCGACTATTCTTATTTCTTTGCTTTCAACCCTCTTGGAGCGTTTTCGTGTGGCTCTCTCCTTCCTACGCGGAAAAGACGTTTTTGTGAGGTTTTCGCGGCTTCAGAGATGGAAGGGGTTGAAGGCGCTCGAAGGGGGAGGGGGAACGCTAACAACCTGAACCTGAGGTTGTGGGTTCGGGTTGACCCCAAATCTAACCTGAGGTTGTGGTTCGGGTGAACACCAACCCTAACCTTTGCGCCGGGGATATGGTTCGGATTAACACCAACCCCAACCCAGAACCGCCAGGGTTAGGGTTCGGGTTAACCCCAACCCCAACTCAGAGTTGGGGTTGGGGTTGGATTGAACCCTAACCTCAACCTGAGGTTAGGGGTTAGGGTTCGGGTTAACCTCAACCCGCACTCTGCCAGCCCCAAAGTTAGGGTTGGGGTTAACACCAACCCTAAGGTTGGGGTTAACCTGAACCCCGAACCTGGGGTTGAGGTTGGGGTTGAACCCCAACCCTAACCTGTTCAGGTTGTTGACCCCCCCATCGGACCCGGCCTCGGGGTTACAACCTGGGTTCAACCCCAACCCCAACCCACCCCCTCCGGAGAATGCTCCCCTCTAGCTTGTTGGACAAAACTTCTCACTCCGTGAGGCCGCTTTTATTAAAACAACTCTCCACTCCTTGAAGCGGCAAACAACACAAAAACGTGTTTGCAACATACCAGAAGAAGAACGCCGCAAGAAGACGTTTTAGGGAGGTTTGAAGAAAGACAAAAGAAGAAGCTGCGCGAAATCGCTTTATGAAATTTTTAACAAAAAGAATAAACTGAGAGAAAAAATACGCGCAAAAAAAGAAGCCACACGAAATCGCTTTATGGGGCGTTTTTGCGAAGAAAATTTTGCGAAGAAAATCCAATGAGAGAAAAGAATTACAAACACAAAACAATAAGAAGCCCTACGAGTCAATTCCATTGTTCCTGTAAAGGCAATGACGAAGAATATCTCCTTTTACGCCAGCTCCCTTTACGGCTTGCAGGGCTTTGTGAGTGGGCTGTCAACCGTGGCAGCTTTTGGAACTTTTGACTGAACAGGTCTGCAGGATGCCCGCAACCACCGGGTCAGCCATTCGGGAAGACAGGCATGCCACGATGGTGGATTTCGCTGCATACCCTCAAATCTGCGACTTTCAATAAGCGTGCAACTTTCATGGCACGGGAGTGGAGCTTTTGCATGCGATTTTAAGGCGGGCGGTCACTTCTTTTTGGAGAACCCCGCCAACAGCACGCCATTGTTGGAGGCTCTTCTGATGTTCACATTGTGGCGGCTTGTGAGTGCGGCTGGGGCTTCTCCAAGCGTTGGGATTTCTCCACGACATTTAGGGCAGCAGCAGGTATGCTCCATGTCAATTTTGGAAGGGGGGCTTGAATTACATCAAAACTGAAGCCCCCTTCAAAATTTGAGAATTCTGGACTCCAGAAGTCTCAAATTGAAACTTGAGAAGGGGCTTCAAGGGGGCCTAAAAGGGGGGCTTCTCAAGGGGGCTAAGAGGCGGTGCAACTTTCCAGTTCTCCTGGTACTGAAGAAGGGGTTGCTCTTCCGACCTGGTCCGCCTGGATTGGAATAATGACGCCGCTCCGAGGAATGTCCATGAAGTATAGCCTGTAGCCGCATCTTAAAGGCAAGAAAACAAGATCTCATCCGGCTCCCAGACTGCCTCCGACGGTTGTTTAGATCTTTGAGCGCATTTGAAAACTACGGGAATAAGCGAGCTAGAACATGTTCGGGAAGACGGAAGGGTGTCCGCGATGCATTGAGCACGGTTTAGTTTCCTTTGTGAGACCACACCTGCCGTAAGTTGAAGAAGTCTAGACAAACCCGAAAGTATCAGTCTTCGACAAAGGTTGAGTTCTTGAAAGTCTGTTAGACCAACCAGGACAGGGGGGTGAACGTCAAACATAGACCTCTAGTTTGCTAGCCACAATGAGATGTGCTCTACCACCTCGTGGAAAGTATTGCATGTCAAGACTGATGTGATTGTGCTGCATGAAGGGTCATCAGGGATTTTTGTCAAAAAAGAGTAAGTTTTGCTGTCTTTCGTGCCTTTAAAGGATCAAGTGTGCGTTCAACCATCTTCCACCGGAGTTAGGTTACGGTTACTGAGGATCAGTTCGACCAGTCGCACAAATAAGTTCAGACGTCAGCTTTAGCCAGGAGTCTTCCTAGCACGAGAAAACCTTGTGGTGAGCGATCTTCGCGGGCTCGAGGGAGGGCATATGCGCTCCACGCGCCGGCGTGCATGTCCTCTTTAGACGGGATGTTTCCACCAGCCACTGAAAAGAGAGCGTCCCAGCCGTTCGTTTGAGGGATTGGATTGAGAATCTTGGAAAGCAAAAATTACAAGATACGTATTCTGACGAGTTGTTGAATACACTATGATACCGCGTTTCCCCGCCTTTACTGCCGATTTTAGACGTTTGATTTGGCGTGAACCTGAACCTCAACCATTAGCTCCACAGGGCTCAGTTTCATTGCAACACTCCGTTTTTGCGTTTACATCATAGTGACATGTTCTTGCATTTATGTTATGAAGCTTGTGCACTTCAGTTTGAGGTGAGTTGGCGTTTTTGTATGGGCATGCTGGATGATGTGCAAATTCGGTGTCGACCAATTGCTTTCCAAATCGAGACGTGGCAAGTTGGTTGGCTCGAGAAAAAAGCCGATGTAACGTTTCTGTCGAGGTCAGGTTGATCCCACTGCATAGTTTGGATTGAAACGGCGTTGGAGTTGTTTGTACTTGGACTCACGTGTGAACTGCTCGCATCATTCAGCAATAGCAGTGCGACGTCATGTTGGTCAGATCTCCGCGATGGCTACGTGTGGCAGGTTATCGTGCCTTTTCCGGTGTCGCTCGCCATTCAATCAATGATCCGCAGGTGCTTGGAACAGAGTTAAGATGCATGTTCAATTGATTGAAGCTGCCATTTTCCACGATTTTGTTTGGTTCGCGGAGTTCACGTCCGAGCTTCGCCCGGCCTTTGGCTTTCTGTCAGGTGCTGGAAGAAGTCAAGAAGGAGTTTCTTCTTTACGAGTCTGCTTTGTGCAAGAACGACGTGAAGGCATTTTCCGATTCGCACCTGTCATGTTGCCCGGATGCACGAGAGGCTCTTGACCGGTTCTTCTTTGACAATCCATCCACTGTTCGATTCGGCACAGCGGAGAATCTGTATGGCTATGAGGCAGCTGAGGGCACAAAGTGTGTTCCTGACATGAAAACACGTGTCTCGGTCTCAGCACAGCAGGCCATCCAAGCGTTTCGAGAAGGGAGATCTCCGCCTGGTGATCGCAGAATCTTGAGGTCTCTGATCACAACCTATGGACCGGATTTCGCGGTCCCTCACTTGATCTTTTTTGCAACACAAGCCTCAGGTTTGGTGCCATCCCGGGCATGTGTGCATTTTCCAGGTGGCAAACATTGAGTTTCAGCGAGACGGCAGCTCCAAAATTGGACGACAGTCGCAGACGTGGTTGCGCCGCTTGAGTTGCAGAGGTTGCCGAGCCTGCATAGTCAACTTGAGCCTTGTGTGGTGCAGATTGCATTTGAGGAACTCCTGGGGGATGGAAAGTCGTCTCTGCGCATGTATCGATGATGGAAAAGTGAGGTGCAGCTACTCCGCTTCAAAATGGGACGTGTCCGAACGCGTGCAGCTGCAGTTCCCGAATGATACGAATACAGCGACCGAAGCGGCACTTCCATGTTGGTATGCGTCCTAGTTCGAAGCCTGGCTCAATCATCTTGCAGGTGACACGCAGCAACACCAATCACAATATGGTGGAACTGACGAAACATCAGCAACGACACCAAACCTGAGTGTAGCCATCGTCGCAGCCGCAGCTGTCCTTGCGACTTTTAGTTTTGATATTCGCGAGAGCCGCTGTGTGTGCATGTGGGCCATGTTGGCCAACGGCCTTGTCGATTGATTTATGGGGTCCAGCAGAAGGGCGGAGCCTACGGCAGGCAGTAGGAACCAGGAACTGCGTCGAGGCATGATGCACTGTTCAATGTGAACGTGCGCATTTTGCAAAGGCCGGTTTCGAGCAGCTTCCAGCCGACTTGCGGGAAGGACAGATCGAGTTAGTGCCGTAGCCTGTGGTGTCCTGGAGCTTGTGTCATCGTCCCAGGCCTCAGCGAGCCATCGGAGCCATCGGAGCCATCGTTTGGATTGGCACCGGGCAAGCTTGTTACGGCCTTCCCTTCTCGATTCCCTTCGCTTGCCGGCGTGCATCGGTCTTCTCTTTGGTCCTTGCGCCGCTGGCGCCTGGAGCAGCCCAGGCGCAGGCGGCGCAGGCCGAAAGGCTTCCCAAGCTTCCGGCATCCGGGAGTCGCGTGCTTGATCTCGGCGGCCTTCTTCCTGCATCACTGGAGCAGGACCTCGAGAAGGCCATAGAGTCACTGGAGCGTGATACGCCGTATCGATTCCGTCTGGTGTGTCCTCCTCCTGGTTACGGCCCTCAGGATCGGGCGACATGGTCTGACTTTGTGAAGAATGTTGGCCAGTACTTTGCACAAGAAGCTCAATGGGATCCTGCCAACGCTGTCGTATTGCTGGTCTCTCCCAGAACCTCTGCCGGGCGCACGGCAAACCCGCTGAATTTTTCCGTTGCCACCAAGCTTACCCAACGTCTACAGTATCGGATTGCATCTGACACCTTTACCAAAATATCGAACAAGTATGGAGACCGTGATTTTGTGATACAAACAGGGGAGGGAGAAGCTGCCGCACTCGCCGCCTTCAATGCAATCGCTTGCCTCCGCAAAGGGGTCTGCATGCAGCCGCTGCCCGATGACGAGGCTCGTGCTGTTGCCTTTGGAGGCAAAGCAGCGGTCAGCACTGCAGACGCCTTGGAAGCTGCTGGCCTTCGATGACTTCGATTTGACAACGTGCAGTTAAAATCAAAAAGGCAGTACTGTTTTGTGAGTTTTGTGCGCCACGACGTATGAAACCAACCTTTAGGACCAAAACATCCTCTTCAATCCTTGTCTGTTGCCATCAGCTGCACGCCGTAGCGATGATCCGGTAGATGTGCAAACGAAGCCTCAGTTCCGTTCCAACCCATGGGGCCAAGCAAAGCAGGTTGCTTAGGACACGCACAGATGCAGCACTGAACAGGAGTTTTAGACAGTCCATGCTGATATGTTTTGCTGTGCTAGCACTGGTGCTGTGCAACATGTTAGTCTCGGGTCGATCCTTTGCATGACACTGATTAACGCAGGCCCGGCGTTGATGGGATTTCTGCCTTTTTGTGCTCGTGATTCCCTCCATCACTTGAATGTTGGCAGGAGGTCATGGCTGAGGATCTCGTGGTTGGAAACTCATTTCATGCATACGTGGCTTCTGTTCTGTGACCTGGGAAGGCTTGAACTTGAAGGCAGGGATGAGGTATAATACTCAGTGTTCCAAGATTACCGGTAGAAGCTATTGAGTTTGGGCTTTCCTCGACGGGCCTTGGGGGGCATCACATCACTGCACGCTCTGTGCCAAGGCCAATGATGCAGCGCTCGCTGAAGGTGGGGCCTGGGGGGGGCCCCTGGGGGAGCCGAAGGGCGCGGCGCGTGCTTTTCACTTCGCGGCTCGAGGCACCGCTGTCGCCACGTCCGACCCAGAAGAGTCCTCGGCCTTGGACGCCTTAGCCTTGAAAGAGCCTCTGAAGGCTGATGAGAGGCCCAGCTCCAGCAGAACTCCGTCTGTTTCCTCCCGCCAGTCCATCCACGTCGCTGTGCCTTCCAATGTCAGACCTGGGGAGAAGTTTTTTGTAGTGGTGGATGACATGGAGTATGAGGTGATAGCGCCAGAAGATTGTATGCCTGGCGAAATGATTGCAATGGACATCATGTCAGATTTGCGATACTGGGAAGCTGATGCACCTGCGGTTGTTGTGTATCCTGACCCCGATGATCGTGGAGAGGGTGGCCGGCCCGGGCCGGGTTGGAATGAATCCAAAGAGTACGAGGCTTCTGTGGCCGAGTCGGTTGCCACGGACGCGAGCATCGTACAGATTACTGTGCCGAACGATTGCAATGCAGGTGACACGTTCTTCGCCGCAGTCAATGGCTTAGAGTATGAGATTCTCGTGCCTAAAGGCAGCAACCCTGGGGACGTGATCACCCTGGAAGTGCCATCCAAACACGCAGTCGGAAAGTTCGCTGTGCCAGCGCCTGCCAGTGACGTGCCGTCCATTCTCGTACGAGATGCAATGGCTAGCCAGGGCTCCAGCGAGACGGACGTGTTTGCGGAAATTTCCGTTCCGGAGAATACATACCCTGGCCAAACTTTCGTGGCTGTCATCGAGAATATGGAGTTCGAAGTTCCCGTACCAGAAGCCCGGCTAATAGTCATGTCGAGAAGGCATTTCTAGATTCTGGCGGCAGCTCAGGACGGCTACGGTCCGGGAGACCGAATGACGCTTCAGGTGCCTTCACGTGGTTTCATGCCGAGGCCTCTGCCGTCGGCCTGGCCCCCAAAGAACAGAGCACCTTGCACCTCTTGCACATGCTACCCTTCGCAAATCTGCATCGCCTGTTTTGTTTTTTCTCAGGAGCTACGGGAAATGCGCCAAGAGCTCCAAGAAGTGCGTCAAGAGCTGCAAGCCGTCCGGCAAGTGCAGATGTCGCAAAAGAGAGCTGAAGAGGCAGCGACTCCAGGCTGAATTTTTGGCAGAGGTGTACGAGTGGCAGGTTGTGGCCGCGTAGAACAGCGAGAGTGTACTTGCAGTGATATGACAAGCAAGATGTTACTGAGGCAACACGTGTCCAAATCCTCGGGCGACTCAAACTTTATCGAGATACTCATTCCACCGGACTGCTACGAAGGCGATTTTCCGTTCCTGATGCCATGGTAATGCTTGTTTGGATAGCAGCAACAGGAGATGTCTTTATTGTCGAAGTGGATGACGTTGAGTTCGAGATGGCTGCTTGGCTGATTCGCAAGTGGACATGGTTTTGTTTTCGGAGGGTTACGGTGGTCAACAAGGAAGGACGCAGGGGATGGGAGGGGAGGGAGGGGAAGGGAAGGGAAAATGGCGTGGAGGTAAATGCATCGGTGCGAGCATTGAGCTTCTAAGTCTGTTGAGTTTTGAACTGACATGATCATGAAGGTTGTCATGATGGAGGCTTCTATGATTGTCAACTTAGTGTAATCTCCAAGTTGATTACATGTCACTCTAAACTTTCGGTGTTGCAAACGATTGCTCTCAGTTTCAGAAAGAACTGCGTCAGGGCGCAATCATCATGATTAAGCCGTCATTGTGGTCATACTCATCTGCATGCTGTCTGTAGCCAGAAGACCAGATCACAATGGATACTTTCATGCATGGACGCATGATCCAACTACAATCATCGAAATCGTCAGGACGGCCAGAAGAATCACACAGGCCAGAATAGTCACCGTTAGCATGAGGCAAAACTATGTACAGCAGTCGTGGTTGGATAAGAATGAGATATGATGGCAATCACAATAGCCATATTCAGCCTGTGCTAAAACAGCGCAGCGTAGGCCATGTGCAGAACTACCGTCAATGGTTTGTCGCCGGGCTAATGTCGGACGCAACGTATCTTTAACGACAGGTCCGGACTCGAAGGTGTGGTTTGCTTCAGGCAACCCAGCTGGCTTGCAAGCGCCTGTGAATGGCTTGTCGGAACCAGTACCCGCCTAGAAACGCCACACCGTGCTAAGCAGATCAGAGGATCAACATGAAGCTCTGCTATTCGGCAAGTAGCACGCCGAGCTGTCCCCGAGTCGAAGCATGTGTTCTGAACAACCAGGTTGTCCCGGATGGTTGCACGCCGGGTGAGGTGATTTACATGGACGTGCGCGAGGCTTGAACGGCACGGAGATGTGGAAACACTAGTGTAGTCGCATGTTGCCGCTCCGCCGCAGGGTGCTGGGTACCCGGCCAAAGAGCTGAGCAGCAAGCAGAAGAGCAGTTCAAGACCTGCCTCAGCCGTCAAGAAGAAGATCCTGCAGGCAAGACGGATCGCTTGAGATCGAAATCGCCCTCTGCAGCCAAATCCGAGTGAGGAGCTTGCAAAAGAGCAGCTTGCTCGCGAAGCTGCTGCCGCAGCTGCCGCCTCGGCGGCCTCTGCAACCTCTGCGGCACCGCACTCCAGCTTGGAGGCCTCCGGCCCTCAGGGCGGTAGAGGCCACAGAGGCTCAAGCTTCCTTCACGTCGTGTTGTTTTGCAGGTCTTGGAAATCACGATTCCGGACGCAACTTGGCTTAACGATGGTTGTTTCGGCTGTGCCACTCGCAGTGCGGATGACTTGCGAGGATTGCTATCCAGGCGACGTTTTTGTCATCGAGGCCGGGCTGGAGTTCTTTGGACCGACTGCTCGGCAACATGCTAGAGCTGCTAGAGCTGCTGCTAAGCTGCTAGGTGAATGGCGTAGACATCGAGCTGGTCGTGCCAAGTGAGTGCCAACCTGGTGAAGTCATCTACATGGACTTGCTGCCAGAAGGCTTTGGCTTTGAGGCTTTTGGGCTTGCCTGGGAACATTGCCGCGCTCCGGTGCAGGCCGCGTCACCAACTCTCGGCCTGCATCGGGCACCACAGCTACAGACAAATCGATGCTTGGCTTCAACTTAGACACTCCCCAGGGATTCTGCGCGAACTTGGTTCTTCGAGGCACTCACGGCCTGCGAGTGCCAGGAAGAAGGGCAAGGCCAGTCGTCGGGTAGTCAATTTCGACTTCGATTGGTAGCCGTACTCGAGTGGACTGCACAGGCAATGGCTGAGGAGCCATCAGAGCCAGAGCCTTCAGGGAGTCCTGAAGGAGCGCTTGCGCCGGTAGCGGTGGAAAAGCCGGAAGAGGAGACCCTGCAGGCGACAGTGGCGACAGGGTCGGCTCCGTCGGCTCCGGAAGCCGCTCCGGAAGCCGCTCCGGAAGCCGCTCCGGAAGCTCCTGATGGCCGTGCAGCTTCCGGGTCCATTGCAGGGACTGAGGACCTGGTCGAGATTCTGGTCCCCGAAGACTGTGCTCCCGGTGACAAATTCGTTGCTGTCTTCGAAATGGAGTTGAAAGTACCAGAGGGCTGCGAAGGTGGTGATGTCTGAGACTCGGAGACAGCCCGAAGGTGCCCCAACTCTCCGCCAAACTTCGCACCTGGAGGTCCTAGTCGCCGCCATGCCTCACGCCATACCTGAAGCGGAGCAGAAGCCTTACTTTCACACTTTCACATCTACAGTTTTTTGTTCTGGAGTGCCTTCATTCTAGGTTGGACACTACGGGATCCACCTCAGCACTCGGTAAAACCTTGGAGGCAGGCAACCCACACGATCGATAAGTTCAGTGCAGACAAGCGTGGCAAGGCCATGGGATGGACAAAAGAGATCGAGAATCTGAAGCAAGAAATGGAAAATTTGAAGCAGGCCTGTCCTGATGCTGACTCCAGAATGCCGTTGCTGTGTTGCTTCTATTTGCAGGAACGCCTGAAGCTACCCGAGCCAGAAGTGCAACCATCTTCGAAAGAGGTCGGCACCCAATTGTATTCCGGCTTGAAAGCGCGTGAGACCCTTCGCTTCCAGGAGGATGACATCCAAAGCTTGAAGAAGGAAATTCATCACCTAAAGGAGGTCAGAATCTGTGGTCGTCGCATCGATTTCGTGTAGCGCTCGCTGCTCGTGATATGCTTCGTTCGTTTTCAGGAGCACGCAAGGCTTCTGGCACAGTCACTACATGCAGCCAACAAGCAGCAGATGGAGCGAGTCGATGTGAAGGAGCTAAGCCGCTGCGCTGAATATGTGCGGCTAGCATCCCCCACCTGCCATTGGTGGAAGGAGAAAATGACGAAAGAAATGGCAACTCTGCGAAGGGAAGTCCGAAAGCTTAAACAGGACTTCCGCATGTTCGCTCCACGATGAACTACGTTTCAATCCCGGCCACGGCAGGGTCGAACTCCCATTGCTATTTCACGAGTTGTGAGTGTGAAGGCCATGAAGGAGCCACCTCCGAGCATCATGAACCTTTTGGGAGCACAGGCATTGGAGCCGGTGCCTACCTGCTCGTGTTCATGTCCTGGGTCCCTGCCTTGTTGAGTGTGCTTTGAGAGGCAGCCGAAATACCTGTCCTGGACATGCATTTCAAGCTTGATGGGGAGCTGTCATCCTTTGACGAAGCAGTGTCTTTGTCTAGAAAGCTTTCCAGCCTGTGACTCTGGCTCTGCTCTCCAGATTTGCGTGCGGTTCTCGCTGAGGACTTTACGAACTCCCTGGCGGAAACGTTGGGAGTCAACAAGTGCAAAGCTTGATTGTAGTTGGACTGTTGTGTTTGGGCTGGGGGCTTGATGTGGCAAGAGCCCAGACAGGTCCCTCATCCAGATACGCCTCTCTCCTGGCTCCGTCATAGTGGATGTGCCTTGGCAGGTGGCTTTTGCAGGCATCCCCTGAACTCCAGTCCCGATGCCTCATCATGCTTCCAAAACTCTATCTAGCCAACATCTCGAGGCTACTTGGAGTTCGATGGGCCCAACAGACATTTAATAGGGTCCTGCAGCAAGTTTTGCCTACAACGGTTTTACCTGCAATCTCTCATTCCAGACAATTCCGAGACCATACTGCAGTTCGATGATGCGCCTTAAGCTTCAACGATGGCCTGCTGACGTCCTTGGCTTCCGTACCTATTGAAGTTCAGCGTGATTCCTCCAGTTTGAAGTTCTTCGTATCCACTGTTGTCTGAGCCTCGAAAAGGTTCCACGGTTCCTGGCCAATCCCAAGCTCACCCGGACAAAGTCAGGATCCACCCATGAGCCCCGACAGTTCCTACGATGCTAGGCATGTAGCTAAATATGTAAGCTCAAGGGGCCGCAGAAGTTAAGTCTGCAAGCGCCAACATTCCATCCCCATCACCTTGCTTGTGTCTCTGTAGGATTCTGAGTCGATACATGCGGAGTTTGATGCTTACCAGCCTGGGGTGTATTGCGTTTCTATTGACCGCAAACAACTATCGAGGCTTGAACGTCTCAACAGGCCCAAATGAGATGTGATTTTGCTTAAAGAGATATCAGAATGAATCAAACGTATAGCACAAGGCCTTCCTGGAAGAATGATAGTGGGAATCGTGACCCTCAACACGGTACCGGCGCACTCAATTGGATTTGGGTCCAGAAGCAGAGCAATATTGGGGCTCAGAAGTATGTCTTGTTGGTGTGCCCGTTGAATGAATGTGTTTTGGCGAATGGCACTTTCCTCATCCTAAAGACAGATTTGCTTTTGAGCGATTTTCCAAGTCGAGGCGAGCATCTCAGTGAGTGACAGTTCCGTATTGCATCGGGCGGAGGAGGCCGGGTATCGCGTCGCAGGATTTGGGTGCCGGGATGTAGAGTGTAGCTCAGGTGCAAGCTTTGCCATATACATAGACGAGACGTAGACGGAGACTTGGATATGGATATAGATGCAGATCTGGATATAGATATTGATATAGAGATAGGGATATGTATAGCTATAAGTAAAGATATACGTATAGGTTATGGATATTGGAGCATGTGGGCACGTGTTCGTGTCCGTGCTTGTGTCTTTGTTTGATTCTTTGTGTAGTGCCTGTGTGTCTGTATGTCTGTGCGACGTGTCCCGGGTCACCTTGCAATCAGATACAATTTGCTGGAGTCTTCGTGTGTTGTGCAGGTACTACGGCTAGAGAAAGATGAGTTGTCACGCCGTCTGGGAAGCACTGTCCTCGAGCCGCCTCGCTTCGTGCTGATGGCCCAGGGCCCCCAAATGGGCAAGGCTGCTGCTGCCTTTCAGTCTGCGATGCTGAGTGTGCCAGATGTTTTCTTAGCTTCCGTGGCACGTGTCTTGGCAAAACGAAGTCGGAGGAGAAGTCGCTGAGCAATGAGACACCACGCTCCTCGGGTGTCGATGTCGTGGACGTTACGATCCCAGACGGCATCCACGCTGGCGATGTTTTCTATGCCGAGGTGCCAGATGACCTGTTGCTGCCGCACTGAGCCTCAAGCCTCAGCTCTGTCCAGGTGAATGGTGTGGAGTTCAAGGTTGTCGTGCCCGAGAACTGCGGGCCTGGTAAGATCATCGAGATGGAGGTTCCATCATCACTCACCCAGGAAGGCTAGCGGCTAGCGGCCAGCGGTTGGTGGATTGGATCCAAAGAAGGTCGGAGTTCACGCATTTGCAGGCCTCGGGCCAGTGACCAGCCGTTCCAGCTCCTACGAGGCATTTCGTGCATGTTTGTGCTATGCCTATGCCTCTCCCCACAGCTTCGAGCTTGGCAGGCGCAGGACCCACTGTCAGAGATTGTTGAAGTGGTCATTCCTCCCGGTGCATGCGCCGCGGGCGGGCTCTCTGCTCAGTACTGATACTTTCACCTTCCAGTCATCCTGAGCTCACGCTGCGCAACCCGGGTCTCTGCCTCTTCCAGAATTTGCGTACGTCGTATGGGCGCTGGGCAGCAGGTTCATTGCGACGCTTCACGGGAAGGCATCTCTGGTTTTTGGGACATGTCGGGAAGGATCCTGGCCTGAAATCTTGCGTGGAAGGACTATGAAATCTCTGTTCCAGAGGGTGGGCAAGAAGGTGATACTATCGAGATTGACCTGGCAGGAGAGCTCTGAACCTCGTGGGATTTGCCGTGTCCTTGTCAGCCCAGCCAATTCAGGACTGTCTCAGCCGTCCTCTCGGAGCTCGCAGGCCTTGCGCAAAATGCAGCGACAGTCTAGAACGTGGCAATGTTCTGCAAACGCAGGCATCCAAGATCTATGAAGTTTTAGTGCCAGATTTTCTTAAAGCTGGAGATTTGTGCCTCGGCTGCAGTTTTGTTGAGCGGCGGCTTGGAGTTTCACGTGCTGACTTGGCTTCTTCGCATAGTCATGGCTGCAAGGTTCATCGCGCAGCTGGAGGGCAAGGACGTGACCAGCGGTGATGTGGCTACAAGTGATTACCGTTGCATGAGTGATGCATGCTTGGCATGAGCAGGAGTATGAGATCCCGGTGCCCTACAGCTGCCGGGGTGGTGACGTTATAGAGGTTGACGTGTCAGGCGAGGTACTTCAGTCGATCACTGGATCCTGTGATGAACTCTGCTACGGAGGCTTGTCAGAGCCGCCTTCCAGCGCTTCGCAGGTCGCGGAGAGTCGGCGGCTGATGGCGTGTCATGTGCTGTGTAGTCCGCAAAGGATCGGCCGGACCATACCTTTGGAGTCGTCATACCTGCGACACTGTGCGCTCATGACTCGCTACTTGGCAGAGCGTTTGTGGTGTCCAGCTTCAGAAGTGTAAGCAGCGACCGGATCCAGCGAAGGCTTTCATGAACTTGTTAGCCCTTCTCGAACTCGTACACATCCACAGGCACAGTTTCTCTTTTCGCCTACATTCGCCACAATTTCATGTGCCGCTCCAGACTGAGGAGAGGTGCGCGCTAGTGCACAAATCACGAACAGGGACGATCATGATCCCTCCATAGGGCCCTTACGATTGCATCGCTTGTGCCCATCAATGAATCTCGGCCAGCATCACCATGCACAAGAAAGAGGCACTAGCATGAGGATTCAGAAAAGAGGATGTGGGACTGATATAGGGAAGATCATGACTGGGAAATAGCATTTCGGGCCCAGTTTACTCGAACATGGGCCTGCCATTGGTGCTGCAATCTGTATATATATATATATATGCATCTCTCTCTCTCTCTCTCTCTCTCTCTCTCTCTCTCTCTCTTCCTTTCACATGGATCTTGGCCGATGTTTAAAGGCCTGCGCATGTGCCCATATGTCATGGTGCTTATGTAATTAGTTGCTTGAATATGTTTGCGTAGGCATGCAAACGAACGAACATACGCACATGTCCAAACCCTTGCTTCTACTAGAGGCACTCATCTTCACATCAGTCATGGCATGGTGTTTCAATGTAGTCACCGATCTCTTGGCACTTTCGCCTGTCGCCAAGCAACACATTTCGCATTTTCTCTGACATAACACGGACTTGTGCATCTATATCTACCAGTAAGTTTTGCATAGATGCACATCTGATTTCCATATATTCTTGCAGAAAACTCTAGCCGCCTTCATGTATAGCAAGCTCTTGAGTGCCGGGAACCAGCTTAGCATGTGCAGAACGCTTTGCAGAACCGGTTGTGATGAATGTTCTGGCTCTAGTCTGTGAAGAAGTTCGAGGCGAGCGAACCAAGCAGCCTAGATGACCAAAGAGCCCAATATGGGCTATCATGATAGCAGCTTATGCATAGGACAGACAGTCAGGCATGTGCTGTGGTCGCAAAAGTTAGGACTTCTTTCGTGCATGGTCTGTGGCGCAGCCTTCGTCTGCATAAGTCCCCGACCCAACAACATGAAGTTTGTGATCGAAGAGTATCTTTAGGTTATGAGCGCCCAAGCTACCGAGCGCAGCTCAGTGAACCCTGCAGCGAACACCTACGGTGCTGTACGACCTGGAGATGTGAGGGTGAATGGAGTAAGCCCTGTTGTGGCTGAAGCGAGATCTACGTCTGGAACTACGGGTGAAGAAGTCATGGGAAATCCTAATCTTCATGATCCTGCACCAGGAATGGGACCTCAACAGTCTTCAGATACCACTACGTCGACAGAACTTAGACCGGACGTGGCCGAACCCTCGTACGAGGAACCGGATCGGAGCGCGAACGTTATAAGTTCTGAACGGCAGGTTACACCGGCAACTCCTACAAGACCAAATTTCCTACCAACGGCCGTTACTCCGACGGCAAATTCTGCAGGTGTGACAGTGCAGGAGTTCTATTCAGCTCAGTCAACGGTTACTACAACAGAGGAGAGAAACGGAAGGTGGATGTCGAGATTTACAGAGTTCATGAGAGTTGCTGCTAATAGAAGTGCGAGCGGGTTCGACAGGATGATGGACAACTTGGGTTTGGTTCATGGACACCAAGCTTCCCCGCAGCAACAAGGAAACATGTTCTCCGGGCGGCCTCGTGAAGGGTATCTGGGTTTTTCCACACCCGAAGAGTTACCTGTTGCGACAACAACGAGAACTATGCCACCCCCAGCTTCGTGGTCTGCCGCTACCACCCCACCTATGCAACCGCTCTTCTCCCAGGCGCAGGCCGCGCAGTTCAGGCAAGCTCAGCGAGATCACCCTCTTCTATATGGACAAGCGTCAGAAGAGGGATCGGATCGTTCTTCGCGACTTCAGGCTGAGGTTCAGAGACAGATGGAAGAATACGCCATGTGGTACCAGGAAGAGCTACGAACCCTTCAGGGTGAAGTTCAGAGGCTTCGTCAGGAAAGAAACGAATGGGAAGTGAGAGCCAGAGGTGCACATGTCTTTAGTGGGGACCGAGGAGAAATTGTTCGTGGTGAAAGCAGTTTGGGAACACAAAGGGAACGTGATGAATATCCCCTAAACCCACAGCCACCTGCTCCAGACCTGCTTCAAGGAAATCCAAGTGGACCCCGAGGGAGTCTTCACCTTCGTAGCGATGGTCACGGTGTACCAGTAGATGCTCCAGGCCAGCTTCAAGGAAATCCAAGTGGACCTCAAGGGAGTCTTCACCTTCGTAGCGATGGTCACGGTGTACCAGTAGATGCTCCAGGCCAGCTTCCAGGAAATCCAAGTGGACCCCGAGGGAGTCTTCACCTTCGTAGCGATGGTCACGGTGTACCAGTAGATGCTCCAGGCCAGCTTCCAGGAAATCCAAGTGGACCTCAAGGGAGTCTTCACCTTCGTAGCGATGGTTTCGGCGTACCAGTAGATGCTCCAGGCCAGCTTCCAGGAAACTCAAGTGGACCTCAAGGGAGTCTGGGCCAAAATGCTGATGGTGCTAAGTACAAGTCGGAGTCTGCAACCCATGTCTATCAGGACGAGATCAACAGTCACCCGCATGACGATAAACAGCAGAAGCCACCAGGTCCTACGAATGGCGGTCAAGCTCCAAAGGCTGCTTCCTCCGGTACCCCAAGTCAATGGTTGGGGAGTTCGGTCACTCCGGATCCTATGTCTCTTCTGGCAGGTGGAATTGCCCAGCTTCAAGCGGCGATGCTCACTCAGATGAAGGAGAAGGACAAGACTAAGGACGAGGACCGGAGCCCAGAGGCAGTGAAGCCGGGATCTACGACACTTCCAGCGTTGCCGGAGGTAAACCCAACGACAAGCTCAGTGGACATCATGGACTGGTTGGAGGTGATCACTACAATCATGCAGGACTTGTCCGATGGGAGTGCGGAATGGTGGTTGCGTGTAAGGGCTTTGGCGGATGAGGCCTACAAGAAGTGGACTGTCGCATCACCAGTGAAGAAGCTCAGCATCGAGCCACCAAAGGAGGTGGAGTTGGAAACGGGGCGTTGGGGACGTGTCAACTCAAGAGGGGCTTCTATGATTATGTTGGCTCTTCCAGAATCTGTTCGGCAAGAGATGGTTCAGCGGAGGTCTACGGGATCCGTTACGGCACTGGTGTTCCGCCTTTTGACAGTGTACCAACCGGGCGGCCAGCAGGAGAAGGTGATGATCTTGCAGAATCTCCAGCAACCGGAGGCGGAAAGCAATGCGTCAAAAGCTGTGAAGTCTCTGAGGACATGGTCGAGATGGCTGAGGAGGTGTAAGGAGTTGGGAGTTTCGGCTCCAGATCCAAGCCTCCTTACAAGAGGCCTTTCAACGATCACCAGCTCCTTCGAGATCCTCATCTCAGTCAACGACAAAGTCTGAGGGAGAAAACGGGGAGCGCGTCCACGACGAAAAATCCAAGGTTCCCTGCAAGTTCTTTGGGAAGACCTACAAGGGTTGCGCTCGAGCAGGTCGTTGCCCTTTCATGCACTCATGGGACGGCATTGAAAAGACAGGGAGATGTCTGGCATGCGGGGGAAAGAACCACTCGGCCAAGGACTGTCCGAATAAAAAACCTCCCTTGGCATCGGAGACCACACCTACGACAACCCCGCAGGCGAAAACGACTGCTCAGAAGCCGGGTTCCTCATCTACTACAACGAATGCTACCTCCAACAAGAATGTTCGCATCGATGAGATCCCGCAGGTGGAGCAAATCCCTGGTCGACACGGGAGTGGCACTAGCTCTGCAAGTGATCAAGTGGACCTCAAGGAAGTCCTGGCAGATGTCGGCAAGGTCCTTAAGGCGATGTCGGCTACTACGTTGAAGGCAATGAGGGTTACCTGTGACAAGACGAAGTTGGAGGAAGAGAGGATCGTCAAGTCAGTGTGTGAAGATCCTCCCTCGATTTCGGGAGCCACGGGACTACTGGACAGCGGAGCAAGCCATGCTATGAGACCTGCCAAGGAACGAGAGTATCAAGATGGACAACCTGTACAAGTTACCCTGGCAGGAGAAGATGTTCGGGTGCTTGGACAAAACGAAGAAGGGACCATCCTGGTTCAGGAGGAGACGGCAGCGATTCAACCCATCGTGCCATTGGGGGCGGTGATCGCTGAACTGGGTTATACGCTCCACTGGACACCGAAGACTTTGCGGCTAACTCATCCGGAAAAGAAAGCTATCAAGGTCAGGATCAAGAACCACTGTCCGGAAGTCGCGGCCGCTGATGCGCTGGCCCTTATCAGGGAGCTGGAGCTCAAGAAAGTGAACACCCTCAACGAACATGTTGCTACTTTGCGAGCGCGGCTTGAAGTGATACAGAAGGAGGAAAGAAGGGACTGGGTTGAGTTGTTGAAGGACTATGCGAAGACGGGCTCGAAGCCAACCTTGCTCAAGGCTGTCCTCACGTCACCGGTGACCCGAGACCTCCCTCCTGATGTTCAATCCCTTTTGGTTGAAGGTTTCAGCAAGGACCACGGAGAGACATACTTAAAGAATATGCCCCTGCCAAGGAAGAAGAGGAGAGCGCTTATGTGTTCAAGGAGCTGGGTAGTCAACCTTTTTCAAGGAAGCGAGAACTACAAGAATGACCCCTTCAACGCGATCCCTTTGGCAGGTAAGGTTGTTCTGGACATTGATGTTTCAAAGTCAAGACTATGGGATGTGAACAGGGAGGGTGGAGTATACCAGCTTCTGTTACGGGCAGCCTCGGAAGGAAGAATCGCAGATGTGATAAGTTCCCCTCCGCACCGTTCGTGGCCAACTTCAGCTATGCCTACCAGGGGACCGGATTCGTATCCAGTGAGAAGTACCACTTCCCCTTACGGCATCAAGGACCTCACTGCGGCCGAAAGACAGAAAGTCGATGCAGAGACTGCACTTGTGGCAAAACCGCTTTTGGTATGGCTGCTGGCACAGATGAATGG